GAGAGAGAGAGAGAGAGAGAGAGAGAGAGAGAGAGAGAGAGAGAGAGAGAGAGAGAGAGAGAGCAATTGTTGTTTTAAATACTTTCATTTTTTCATAGTTTTTCTTCTTTCAATGGAAAAAGTTGTAACATGTAAGCATATATATTTAAAAGTAAAACGATAGACCAGGTTCTGAGTTATAGATTTTGCTAGTCTGTCGAAGAGGGTTATGACATTGTTTGAGTGTGTGTGTATTCAGTATGCACTAAAAAAAAACAATGATTGTGCCAGGCAATTCATAAGGAGGTTGAACCCCGACAGTTTGCCCATGATGCATTTGACTGATGGATAAAGACTCACAACATCGCCTAGAGTTAGTGATACGCATGGGAAAAATGGTCGCCTTTACTCGTACCAAACCTGTGTGTATATATGTATGTATTTGAATGCACACAAGATAGAAACAAAGAGAAGCAAGAAGGATATGGAGAGAGAGAATCATATGTATGAATGGGAAAAAACTTGCATAATGCACACATGCTCAAGAAAAAGAAAAAAATGAGAATGATGCATAAATGTGTGATGAAGAGAATAGTGATATGAATGGAGCACTATGTGATGGACTGCGCTATGATAGGTCTTTCCTACGCTTTTCCAAAAAAAAATGCAATCGTCCTCACAACTACTGTGATAATGAGATAAAGAACAAGCGTGTCATAAAATTTGTGATCTTGTTGATCTGACAATAGGTTGTTTTTTTTTTTTTTTTGCCCATAATAGCAAGTTCCATTTCGAGATTTGTGAATGTGCCCTTTCAACTTCTGTAACAACCACTTATGTCCTTCAATGCATACAAGAGAAGGTCCAGGTCAAGTCTAGGCAGGCTGAGGAATCGTCATGCTCTTGGAAAGTGTACTTTTCGTGAACTTGGATAAGGGTTTCTTGTGTCCTTGAATGAACACAAGCCATGATTTGTGTCAGGTGTGTCAAATATAACATGATGCATACTTATAATAACTGTATAGGACTTGAAAGATCACTTGTATGCATTCCAGCGTCCTTGAGAGAAAAGAACACACAAACACAATGTTCACACTTCCCTTTTTGGGTAGGGTTTGGGCTTGTTTGCCAAGGCCTAACAAACCCGAAAAATCCCAACAATAGTTTTTGGGGGGCACCTTGGAGTTGGAAAACTTCTTGGGCGAACCCCTATTTTAAAAAACAAATGGTTGAAAGGGGCACAATCCTGACTACCTAACCGAATACAAAACCCAAAAATCTAGATCCATACTGTCTGGATACCGATCTGGACGTTTGGCTGGTAGTCATGTTTAACATGTTATACGAAATTCCAAATCAAGCAACTTTGGCTCAAGGGCATCCAAAGTTTATTATAAATTAAAATTAAAAAGAAAAAAAAAATAAAAATTTAATTATCTCGCGTCCTTTAAGACCATTAAAGCCTCTTTTAACCGCATGTATAACCCATAGACCCTCTTTTGTGAGATATTATCAAACTCCAAGATAAAGTTGAATTTTGACACATCGCAGTGGTGGAAAAAAATTGACCTTCCTTTTTTTTTGTCACCCGGGTACCTTGGGTAGTATCCCCCTAAGGGGGTTGGGCGACTCTTGTAGTCTGCATGTATAACATACATATGTATGTACAAAATATACAATAAATTAGCTTTCCCGACCGGGCACCCCGGGCGCCTTGCTCGGGGGGGGGACCACGCCCGGGGTACCCCGAGCGTGCGAAAAAAACACTGATTTTTTATTTTTTTTTTGGGACTTCGGTGCTCGTCTGCGCTTTCCGCATACTGCCCATATCCGGCCTTGTTTCTAATTTCTATAAATATGTGTTTATGTGTGTTTTGGGGGCATGGGCGGGGAGAGTAGGGTGAGGGGAGGGGATGCAGGTGCGGGGTGGGTTATGGGTTGTCCGTCTAGCAGGACCAAGGATGCAACAGCTGCTGTGTCCCGCCTGTGCTTGAGCTGCGTGAAAGGAGGGAGGAGGGAGGAGGGAGAAGGGAGGAGGGAGGATGGAGGAGGGAGGAGGG